GAAGTTGAGGCAGGATATCATCACCCATTAAACAACAGAAGAAGAAAAAGAACCTCACAACAGTAGATACGGAAGAACTTCTGTGGAAGAGCAAAGAGTGGGGGATTTTATGCAGTATAGGTTTAGGGAAGATAAATGTAGGCCACTTCACAGGGGAAATCCACCAATCTTTCAAACTTCCTGCATAATTGAGTATGTGAGATAAACAGAGTGATTCAGAGTGTTTGGAGTGAAATGGTTCAGATTTCTTTACAGTGGTGGTGATAGGAACCAAGTGTCACGATAACTACATTTTATTTACTACCCAAACCCACTGGTGAACCGATACGTGTCTTCTGAGTTTTATATGGAATGTTGATGATGGGGGGAAAATAGTGGAAATTTCCTTTGGGGATGATTTTACCTCACAACACTCTGCATATTATGTATACCTCCACCATTACTATTATAAAACAGTGTCTCAGACATCATGTAGTGTATTCATAACCATTTCATGTAATAACTTTCTGTGAGGGAGCTTTTAGAGGGGGACGTCTGGTTCCTTTCACCACCACTGTGAACAATTCTGACTCTGTAAATTTCTCTAGAACAGAGCATTTCACACCAAACAACTCTGAACGACACTGTTTACATCTTAACCGTTTAATCATGAGAAATCATTTTCTGAGTGTCATTTACATCATCAATCCATCAGTGTCAGCACAGACCCTTCTTTCTGGTGAAACAATAATGTGTTAATAATCTTTCAGGCCGTGGTGGTAAGTGCTATCTGCTGTCACATGTGTTCTCAGCGCGCAGCTCTAATCAGTTCAGCCTCTGTCACTCCTTAATGATTCTGAGAGCAGATCTGATCCTCTCATCCTCTCCTCTTCGAGAGCGGATTTGATTTTTTACTCCTGTTCCTCTCGCTCTGCTTAAAATCCACACGGGTGAGCATGTGTTTTCCTCGCTCAATTACACCACAGGTCGATCTCGGAGGGGAAACAGTTGACACTTCTTTTTCCGCCGACTGGTGAAGGTGCTGACTGAACGCACCAGCTCGTTAAAAAGAAGGAGAGGCCTGAACATTAAATATGAGCAGAGCTGCTGTAGATTTCCCACCGGCTTTGTTACTGAAGACCACCCCCACCCCCAGCACCCCACCCTCCGATATCCCTTCTGTCAGTCTTTCTCTCACTCGGTTAACATCAAGCTCAAAGAAATGGATCATTAAAATTCTTACTTTCACAGTTCTAGTCTTTGCCCCTCACTGTGTAGGCGACGGCTTGTGGCCATCGCATTCTCTGGACATTTAAAGGGTCCATATCATGCAAAAAAATAACTTTCTCGCTTTTTCAGTGTTTCAGTTCAGTGTAGTATGTGAACATTGTTAAAGTTTCAAAACAAACTTCACTTATCAGCCCATATATGTAAACTAAGCTGCAAGAACTGCTGATCTACTGTTTTCGTGATGTCACAAAAACAAACACATTCACATTCGTCCTCCTGTTCAGCTAAAGCAGTTTAGCCCCTCCCACTCACACTGAAGTTATAAGGAGTGTTTCAGCCTGGCCTGCTTTTTTGAATGAGGCACAGCCAATCAGAACAGAGCTCGTTTGCATATATCAGTCTCAAAGACACAGTAACAGAGGTGCAGTCTGAGCATAACATATATAGAGAGGCTGGAAAATCTGGAATATCATGTGAAAATGAAATACGACATATGAAATATGAGCCCATATCTCACATATTTGTCGTGTTGTTTTATGTACCAACAGTCATAATTCATTTTAAATGGTGTTATAATACAGGCTACTTTGCCAGATTTATGCCAATGAGCTGCTCTGATTAGCTACCTCATACAAAAAGCAGGCCAGGCTGAAACACTTCTTATAATGTCAGCATAAAAGTGGGCGGGGTTAAACTTCTGCTAGCTGAATAAGTGGAAGCATGTAGATGTGTTGCGACATCACAAAAACAATGAGTTTTGCAGCTTAGTTTGCATAAAGACTAGGGAGTAAACTGTACACTTGTTTTTTTTACATTATATGGGCCCTTTAAATGAATAGGCCAGACTTGAAAAGCATTCAAACACACTTTTAATTAGTTGATTGTTGCCAAAATCCTGAATACATTTTATATGCAAGAGCAAGTTTTGGCCACTTAATGCCGCAACCCTTCCATTTCCCTCCGCTTTTGTTCTCTTACATGCATGAAACAGTGCCATGCTTGTAATAGTTCTTGGCACATTTGAGGCAAGTGGCAGCACTCAGCCCGGATTTAAAACACCACCACATCCAAAGAGGTAATTTCTCATTTCAATGCAGGATAAATGAAATGGCACTATGATTTCAGCATATGAAGTGGTTTACAACTTTGGCATAAATCACTCTCATTCATTTCAGCCGAGGATGCTAATAATAGAGTTCTGAACCAGAGCGTGCGGCGTCTAAAAAGTGTCAAAACCTCCTTCGTTTAGAAAGAGGCTGCTAAGCGATTGTTTAAAAATGAGAATTTTCTTCAAACTCTCATCACTTTAAAGTTGCTAGAAAATGCGTGATGTGTTTGCATGCTGAAGAGATCAGCTCATGCCTGTGAAGACCACATAAGATGTTGTATGAAGGAATTGACACTGCATTGGCGTGTGGGACCTTCAGCTAAAGCAAGAGTTTATTTATACAGCACTTTTCATACAAAGTGCTTTACAAATGATGAAATACAAAGCATGATTAAAACATGATTTAAAGAGAAGAAATTAGACATCAAATTAAAAATAAATTAGATTGATAGAGTGGTGTTAGAGGAGAGCAGTCCAGTAGAGCTAACAGTGTCTGTGTTTACGTGCAAAGATCAAATTAAATACATTCCGATTATAGATTAAGACTGAGGTGTTTATATGCACACTCTATTAAACAATCTGATGAAAATCTCAGTTTACACTCACACTACAAGTAATCCGATCCAAAATTATATGCATAGAGAACCACTTAGTGTAGACGTTACCATGACAACAAGCATCACGTGAGGTCCAGTCAGAGTGAGATGAGCAGCAGTAAGTAGTGCTTGTGAATTTAATTACGTTACAATGATGTCAGACTCAGGAAAACACACTTCATGTGTGCTTATTACAGAAGGCCAAAAGGAAGACGCCGTGTTCTGAAACATGTAAGTTGGACGTCCCACCGCCGTCTTTTAAAGATCAAAGCATAAACTTCGTCTTCTCTACAGACCAGTTTCTGCTCCCGCCATGTTGAAAATTATAAACTTTCGCTATGACATGACGCACATGTGCAGAACTGACTTGAACTTTCCGATTGTGAATAGGATACAGGCGTTTACATGATTATTATTACTCTATTTAACAGATTATTTACAGGATTAACCACCTTGTTCAGTCGAATAGAAACTGTAATCTGAATGGTTTCAGTCAGGACTGAGGTGTTTACATGGACATATTGAGCTATTAGTTGGATTGTTAAAGGATTATAAGGCTGCATGTAAACATGGTTAGTGTTCAAGCTGAGCTGAAAGCTGCTCAAATAGGAACGTTTTAGGCCGGATTTAAAAGTGTCCAGTGTCTAGGCTCCTCTAATGCTCTCTGTCAACTGTTATTCTGTATATGTCACATTTTTCTCTATTGAACTGTAATACGTTACTGACTATATGTAGCACAGTGTACTCAGTATTCAGCCATCACTAGTTTTTCAGAGTATTTTGCCTGACTCTGTTCAACGCACATCACAAAGGTGTAACAATTACTGATGGGTGACATTCGTAAGGCTGTGCGACGCAAACATAAACAGCCTTAATCGTAACTGACATAAGCACATAAAATAAAATTCCTTCTTCTTGAGATTTTAAATTAAATTGGGTGATTTGTTGGTTAAATGGTTCAAATAGTGGTCAGGCGGCAGTAGTTAATTTGCTATGAAGCACTAAAGACGCATAAATACTTTTCATGCTCCGCTCTGACATTTATCAAGGGCAGCGTTGCAAAGAGGAAAAGAAACTGTACTCTGAATACTGTGTTTACACAGTGTAACTTGGACTTTATAAACATTTATAACGGTATTACAGCAAAGATCAGTTGTCGTATGGCCTAAACTAGAGGAGTAGTTAGGCAGAGTAGGTCTTATAAGTTCTATTACTTAGGAATGATGCTTTATAACAGTGTCATAAACAAAACAAATGTCCATCACTACCTGTAAATCTATTGTTTTAATCATGTTTTAATCATGTTTTTAATTTCTGTTCTCATTAACTTTTATAAACAGTCAGTATTTTCTCATCTGTAAAGCATTTTGAATGACAGCAGTGTATGAAAGGTGCTATATAGATAAACTTACCTTTCCTTGCCTACCTTAATGTAAGGCCCAGTGCAATGCCATTCACTTCATAAATCATATCATCTGACATGAGCTGTTTATGAATGTTATCTGATGCTTACGCATGTCTTATGAAGTGCCTTTATCTTCAAATGAAGTGTTTAAATTCCTACTCGTTAAGATTTTAAATGAAATTGGGTCATTTGTTGGTTAAATGGTTCAAATGGTGGTCAGACTGCAATAACTAATTTGCTATGAAGAACTAAAGACACTTTAATACCTTTCATGCCCCACTGTGACATTTATCAAGGGCGGCGTTGCAAAGCGATTCACCATTGATTTATTTAGCATGTCTGCAGTGAGTCTCTCTCTCTCCAGCGTCTTGACTCACAGACAGAATTTTCTCTAGAGGACACGACTGATTAGAGCAAAGAAAAAAACAGTCTGTGGGTAAAAAAATGAATGTGCGCAAATCATCCATACAGTTAGAAAGTATTTTACAGAATAATGAGTTTTTATAGATGTGCGCCAAACCTCAAAGGGCTCGAGTCAAAGGAGTGACTGTTCTGTGATGATGAGAGGCAGCCTGAGTGATTGATGTATGAAATTTCCAAAAAAAATCACAAAAATAACGCATCCGTGCTCCTCCGTTCTTTTCATCCTTGCTGAATTTCTCTTCGTTTCTTTGTTTTGTAGGCAGAAAACACAGCCCTTGCTCAAGCCAACGAGAATCAGAGAGAAGCTTACGAGCGATGTCTAGATGAGGTGAGTCAAAAACTTTGTCTAGTGTGACTTCACAACATGTCTAAATGAAGGGGTGGGCAATATGATGATATTTAATTGTTATCTTGATACATTATGTCACAATACGCTTTTCTGAGCATATCGTTGATGTCGAAAGTACTTAAAAACACTGACTAACTACATTTCATTGAAAAGTGAGAGACATTAGGCCTGTTTAATTGGATTTAGTGCAGCGCAGTTTGTAAAACATTGAATAAAAGTCATTATAGTCATAGGTTATTTATTATTATTATTATTATTACAGTATTTTGTATTTTGCTGCTGTCAGAACAAAACCTCATATCTCCAAAGTGATAACTTTACAGGAGAAGGTAAAAACATACTTTACTTTTAATGTAAGTCAGTGGAACCAGACTTTTTGTCATGTCATTTTGTGCCATTTCTTTTGGTCCATTCTTCATGAAATTTTCACACAATGTGAAGGCCAAGAGGAATTTTCAATTTATATCAAAAACTGAAAAACGACAGAAATGGAGATACAAAGTTTTGTTCCGACAGCAGTGATAAATCGCACAACGGGTTCCATCTTCTCTGTTCCAACTTGTCTCAGAAAAATATCGGGAAGCATATTGTGCATCTTGAAAATGTCTTGAAGTATCATGATACAATATTTTTTGCCATATCGCCCACCCCATCCATATGTTAATTATACTGTATTTGTGTATAATACAGTGCACACAGCACTGTGTGTGTTACTGTGTTGCTGGTGTACAGTGTATTTTTTCAGAGTGGTTTGGTATGAAATGGTTCAGATTTCTTTACAGTGATGGTGATAGGAACGAGGGGTCACCATGACTACAACACAAATATAGACATTTTATTTACTATGCAAAACCACGAGTGAAGCTACACATGTCTTCTGAGTTAAATGTGTTGTAGATGAGTCTATATGGAGCTCTTTGTAAAGGGTTCTGCATAGCACCAAAAAGGGTTCTAATTCTTACGATGCCAAGCTTGTAGCAATAGAAGAACCCATTTTGGTGCTAAAGAGAACTATATATAACACATTCTTAATCAATCTGAAGAACCAATCTGAAGAACCACCCTGCAGAGAACGCTTTAAGCATGCAAAGGGTTCTTTGAGTGTTTTGAGTTTTTATAAACCAAAATTTATATAAACCATCTTTTTTAGAGTGTACAGTGTAGTTGTTTGTTTGGTGGTTGAGCTGTTCTGCTTCGTACACAGAAACATGATCACAGTTATGAGCATTTTATTTTAGTTTAATATAAAATTGGTAGAATGTTTTAATAAAAAATATCAAATGTGCTGGAACTCCAGTGATTTGTGACAGGGAAAAAGAGCAAAATCTCCTGGCCTTTGAGATTTGAAGGTCTAAATGAAGTGGCATTGAGATGCATTTTCAAATTTTTTTAGTTTTAGGTATACTCAAGTGAAGTACACATCCTCCAAAATAATACTCAATAATACTTAATAATAGTAGAAGTCACAATGTATTTTCCAACCTTGCTGTTAAAAACGTAATGTAAACAAGTCATTGGACTGTCTGAGTGGAAATGGGCAAATAAGGGTAAATGATGCTGCTTACTTGTGTATATTTGGCAGAACATTAAAATAAAGAAGAAATAAATACTGTACAAACTGTTATGCTGCGTAATAAAAGCAAATAGAAAAGTATTTAATAGAAAACTGGATCACTGTTGTGATCAATTACAACATGTCTATAGTATATAATATCAGCAATGCTATAAATATGAGGTTCTGCTGAATATACACTGTAAAATTACTTCATGTAGTAAGAAGTAAATTAACTAGTTTTATTCAGCCTAAATAAATACATTGAACAAATGATTCTTTCGATCAGTGTAATTTTTTGTGTTGAATAAACCTACTTCAGTTGCTTGTTACTACATTTTTTACAGTGTACGTAAGTAAGCAATATGTCGTTTACTTCTATTTGCTCATTTACATTTAGATGCACTTTGTGTGCATTTCAATGTATTTATTTTCTAAGAAAATGACTTGTTTAGTTGTTTAGGTTATGTTTTGACCAGCAAAGTCAGAATTACAGAATTACAACTTGCACAGTGAATACTGAGTACAGCATATATATATATATATCTCAGGATAAAACCCTTTTTGTGTCTCCATAAAAGTAACTTCACAGGAGAAGGAAAAACATGCTTAATTTGAATGGAAGTCGATGTTTGCTAGTAAATTTGGACCATTTCTGTTGCTCCATTCATGTACAAAAATTAAAAAGACAGTGATATATACAGTGAATATGCATAGTACATAGTGAATACAAAAACACTAGCAAAATATTGAATATCTCTTTGCTTTGGAAGCATTTAGGCTCTGAAATATTTCCTTTTGAGCTCTGATAAAGTGCTATTCAAAATGTATGAACTTACAGCTTGATACAGATTACGTTTACTTGAAGCCGCCCTGAGCCTTCGCTCCCTTTTCATACTACCCTGTTGAGCTTAAGCCTACAGCTCAGCTGTGCGTGGGAGGAGCTGAATACTGACTTCTGTCTGTCTGTTTGTTTGGCTTTTAGGTGGCCAACCATGTGGTGCAGGCACTGCTGAACCAGAAGGTATGACAACGTTCTTTAGATTTCTGAATGATCCCGTGTTTTGTTTGTTAGTGTGTCGAAGATTTTGACAGTGGCTATTACACCAATGAGCCAAAACATTGCCTAATAAGATGTTGGTCCTCCGTGAGTCGGCACAATAGCTCAGACTCTGCAAAACCTTTGAAAGCGTCCTGTGGTATCTGGCGCCAAGATGTGAGCAGCAGATCCTTTAAGTCCTGTGAGTTGTGAGGTGGAGCTGCCACGGATCTGACTTGTTGTTCTAGCACATCCCACAGATGCTCATTCGGATTGAGATTAGAATTTGGAGGCCAGGGCAACACCTAGAACTTCGTCATGATCCTCAAGCCGTTCCTGAACAGCTTGTGCAGTGTGGCCAATGCCATCTCCATGAAGAGGTGTACCTGGTCCACAATGATGTTCAGGTTTGGTTTCAAATTGACATCCTAGCTCCAGGGTTGCACAGCAGAACATCACCCAGAGCATCGCACTCCTTCAACAGCTTGTCTTATTCCCAAAGTGCGTCCTGGTGCCATCACTTCCTCAGGTGAACAGCGCAAACGTACCCAGCCATCTTTGTGATGTAGAAGAAAATGTGACTCATCTGACCTTCTTCCATCATTCCAAGGTCTAGTTCCAATGCTTGCGTGTCCATTGTAGCCTCTTTTGACAGTAGACAGCGTCAGACTGCGTCCCTGTACGCAGCAGGATGTGTTAAACTGACACATTCCTCCTGTAACCAGCGTTAAACATTTCTGAGACCCACAGTAGCCCCTCCATCAGTTTGGACCAGACAGGATTTTAAGAAAAAATATCAAACATGCTGGAACTCGAGTGATTTGCAAGAGAGAAAAAGAGTGAAATGTCCTGACCTCTGAGATTTGAAGGTCTAAATATAGGGTCATTGGACCTGTAATTCAGATCGCTGTTTTCTTTTCATTTTCCAAGTTTTAGTCATACTTGAGTAAAGTACACATCCTCCAAAATAATATTTAATAATAGTAACAAAGAAAAATCACAACTTATTTTCCAACCTTGCTGGAAAAAGCATAACATAAACAAATCATTTTCTCTAAGTGGAAATGAGACTTGGAGCCCAGCATCCTGTTGCCGTTTCATGGTTTATTACTACTCGGCCCACTGTTGGTAGATATTCGCCACTGATGACCCCCACAAGCCTGGCCTTTTGGAGGTACTCTGACCCAGTCAGACATAATGATTTGGTCCTGATCAAAGTCCCTCAGGTCTGGCTTCTCAGCGGCACAACCGTCTTAGCGTTGGTTCTGTCATCAGAAGATTGTGACTCTGATCCCTGGTGATGCTACAGCCGTTCGTGGCCAGGAGTCCAAGAGAGAACAGTTTTCCTTGTTCTCTCTGGGTGGGCATTTCTCCCGAATCCAACATGTCAGCTATGAGAACCTTTTGTTTGCTAACTGTGGAATATATCCCAATATATCACAGACTTTCTGTTACAAAGTAATCAACATTATGCTCTTCGTCTGTGAGTGCTTATAATGTTTTGGCTCATCGGTGTAGTCTGAGTTGATTTCAGGTTATTACTGAAAACTGTGTTGAAATTTTGCCAGAGATAAATGTTTGTTTGTGATTATGTGAAGGACCTGCGGGAGGAGTGCATCAAGCTGAAGATGCGCGTGTTCGACCTGGAGAGACAGAACAAGACTTTGACAGAGCTCTTCACCCAGAAGCTGCATTCCACACCCAATCCTTTACAACAGGTACGGTGGAAATTGTATCTTATCTTGCAGCATCTTATCTCCAGTTAGTAAATCTTAACCTACTCAGTCGTAGTCGGCAATCAGCTGTCATGTCTGTTTCCTAGCAACCAACCATACTCACACAGCAGGAGCATAAAACATGTAATTGAATTATCAAGTTAGTTATCCAGACAGCTGCTGTTACTGATGTAAAAAAGGTCAAACAAAACTAAAATGCAGTAAACTGTAAGTTGTGAATACTGTGAGAGCGCCCCCTGCTGTTTGTCAGGGTTTCGCTGCTCCCCAGTTTCAGTCTCCATTTCCAAAAAGCTTTAGCCGGGTGCGCTTACGTTCTTCCTCCTAATATCTCCTCATTATTCACCACCATCACTGTAATATTTTATCATCAACATTAACACATGAAGGTAATAAGAGGGGACGGTGGAGATCGTGTCTGCAGCGTCTGAGATTTTTAAAACACAGAGTTAGAAAAGAAAAACATCTCACAAGTGAAAGCATTGATTTGCAGTATAAATAAATGTAGCATCATTATGTTAGTAGTGAACTATGCTGCCTGACAAGGTTGCCTAAAAACGATAGAAACAGACACTTAAACAGAAGTTAGGACACTGTTGAGGTTTATCCTAAAGTTAGGACAGTATTTAGGAGATTTAGTCTAGTTAGGATGTTTGTGTAATACTGTTCTCTTATCTGGAGTTAATGATAAGACTATGAAGTTAGGAACTGTTATTCTGTCATAGCTACTGTCCTAAATTCAGTCTGTCCTGAAGTCGTCATGGTGACTACATGAGGCCTATAGAACCAAATTTGAGAACCACTGTGTTGCTTTAAACCTGGAAATGGTCACAAGATCATTTTGGGGGGAGATTCCTACATAAGCTGTCTGTTTCCAAATGTATCTGGAAAGACCTTCTCGTGTGAATTCTGCTATTTTAAGGTCACCCATTGCTGACACAGCTTGTATTATCTCCATAGAAAAGCATTAGCCAATAGAATGGGACACTCTAAGGTCATCATATCCGTGGACTAGAAGGGTATAAAGCCCCCCAGCATTGGGCTGTGGAGCAGTGGAACTGTGTTCTCTGGCATGATGGAGCTCCGTCCAATATGTTTAGGATGAGTTGGAGTGATCCAGAACTGACCATGCAACATCAGTACCTGACCTCACTAATGCTCAATCGTTCCAGTGGATATTTAGATTGAGGAATAACAACAAGGACCACTTGAGTTGAGAAGCTCAACTAACTTTTGGAAACATTGCATGAGCTGTGGGGCTCAGCACTTTAGCTCTTACCACAGATTGTGTCTTATAAATCCAGCAGTGAATGATGAATAAACAGGCCGTACAGATATGGGAGGCAGATAAATAGGCTAAGCACCAAGGGATTTTGGACAGAACTATCAGCACCATGTGAATTAAGATAATATATTATCGAACAAGTGCAGCTCGACCATTTTTAATTGGAACAGGTTGCAATTATTAATTAGATGTTCTTTTGAAGGGTGAAAGTATTCCCCATATTCAGCTTCTCCAGATAATATTCAGACTGAACTTTCATTTCAAAATCTGTTTACACTTTCCGTCATTGGCACAGCCTGTTAAAAATCATTGCTTATGTGTACAGGCCATGCACAAACACTTTACGGTGCGGAACCCTCGGGGAACTGAACTAATGCCTGTTAAGTTTTTAGTTATTTTTATTTAGCAGAATCATCATGACTTGTATTTAAACTCTGCAGGTGTTGCAGTAATGCTTTCATTTCACTGTTAAGTTTTGGTTTGAGAACCAAGCCTTAAAATCTTGAAAATGGCTAAGAGAAAAAAGTTGTCCAGTCAAGATTTGGGCAAGCCAAGCTGCTCTTCCATTGGTTAGGACTTTAACAGTTAGACTGAAGGGCTTACAAAGTGACAGAGGAATTAAGCAATCACGTTTTGATTTATAATGGAAATGAGAAAAAAACATCGCTCTAGTCCTTCTGGAAGTTCTAGATATGTCACTGACCATGAAAATGAGACAGTGTCTAAGCAGAAGTCTAAAACTGCTAATACAAAGACAAATATATGTTACATTTAAATCAACATTAGCTTAGCGCTAACTAAAGATGGCATGATACCACTTGTTCTTTTTTGATGCCAATACTAATATTGAAACTTCAGCGGATACTGACATTGAAACCTTGAGTATCAGCTGGTACTGAAACTGTACTGAAACCCTAAATATCAGCAGATACTGTTACCAATATTGGAATATTAAAACCTTGATTATTGGTCAATACCAGTCTAACATTAAAAAAAAAATACTAATCTTTAAAATAAGCTGTTTTTAAACCTTCAGTGGTGGCTAGTACCAACATTGAAACCTTGAGTATCAGTCAATACCAATCCAGAATAACTGCTTTAAAGCTTTAAAAATTAGCTGTTTTTAAACCATAAATATCGACTGAAAACAATACCAATGTTGAAACCGTGAGTATCAGCGGATACTGATACCGTTATGGAAACCTTAAATATTGACAATACTGATATTGAAACCTTGAGTATCGGTGGATACTGATACTAATATTGAACACTTGATTATCGACGATACAGATCTTGAAACCATAAGTATTGCGTAGTACTAATACCATTATTGAATCCATGAGTATTGATGATACAGATATTGAAACCTTAAGTGTCAGCTGGTACTGATACCATTATTGAACCCTTGAGTATTGACGATACTGATATAGAGACCTTGAGTATCTGTGAATAATGATACCAATACTGAAACCCTGGGTATCGCCTGGTGTCAGATATTGTAACCTTGAGTATTGATGATAGTGATACTGATATTGAAACCTTTAGTATCAGCGGTAGTGACACTGATACAATCTCTTGAGTACCGATGATACCGATATTGTAACCTTGAGTATTGACGATACTTATACTGATTTTGAAGCCTTGAGTATCGGCGGATACTGATACCAATACTGAAGCTATGAGTATTGACGATACTGATATTGAAACCTTGGGTATTGGCAGGTATTGATATTGTAACCTTGAATATTGATAATACTGATATTGAAACCATGAGTATCGGTGGATACTGATACTACTATTACAACCTTGGGTATTGGCTGGTATTGATATTGAACCCTTGATTATTGACGATATGGATATTGAAACCTTAAGTATCGGCTAGTACTGATACCATTATTGAACCCATGAGTATTGATGATACAGATATTGAAATCTTAAGTATCAGTTTGTACCGATACCATTATTGAAACCTTGAGTATCGACGATACCGATATTGAAACCTTAAATATCGGCAGGTACTGACACTGATGCTGAACCCTTCAGTAACGACGATACTGATCCAATATTTTCTATTTAAAAACTACTGATCTTTAAAGCATTTCTTTTTAATTGAAGCACTTTTCCTAAGATGATGATGTAAAAGCATTCTGTGATGCTGGAACTGCTGAATCACTCTTTTAACCCCACAGGAGGATCTACACAGCTAACATCAAACCACAGTGAGAGTGAGCACTGTTTCATTACAAATCTGTTACGGAATTGCATCCCTTTATTACCTCACTTATTACCCCATCCAGCATTTTCTGACCATATCGGCCCCCTGATATGCCATCTGTAATTAACATGCTATTAAAAACTCCTGTGGGGGTGCTAGGAGAGAAGAGAAATGTGAGTTTTTATATTTATGGCCAGAACTGAGGACCCAGCTCTAATTGTCCACTGCGTTTTAAATATGTGGATTTTAAATATAAAATACATAAAAAGTGTTCTACTGGATGTAAATAACGCAGTGCCAGTTACATTCATGCGTGCATTGATGAGCTCATAGCTTTCGTCACAGCACATAAGGTTTACGTTCATCTAGAGGATGATGATCTCCGCTGGGCTTTCACTGGTTAATCAGTTTTGGTGCCAAGGCTGTAATAACGGGAAAATGTAAGCAACAGATTTTTTCCTCTCTGTTCACTGACTCACACACACAGCGTTTCAGCGTGGATCATGGTTAAACTCCCACACGCCACCCACATGCACGCATGCCTGGGCTCAGAGCAGCATGAAGACGCTGTGCGAGAGTGATTCGAGCTCAGCGCTGGTAAGACGGTGCCACTCCGGTCCGTATCCATGTTCTAATGAGAAAATGACTGGAGCAAAGCACTGGTGTTGTATCATATTTCCTCCCTGGATAATTCCAGAACCTTGTTTTGCTGTCAAATCAGTGCCGCCAAAAGCTGACCCGTAAAGAAAAGCACTTAGCTGCTATGAGAGCTCATCAGTGATGCGTCTTGTGATGCATATTTAACTGTCACAGGGCTTGGGGATTTGGGGGGGGGGGGTTGTGTCTATTCTCTCTAACTAAAACACAGATAAATACTTTTCTATCTCACTTCAAACCTCATATTTAGAATTTTTAATGCTGTTTTCGGAGCCGACGTGATTTGGGATCGTTTACTCTCTGCCTTGTTTGTCGGCGAATGCCATTCTTTATTTGCGCTCGGCAAGTATTCTTTTCGATAAGAAATTGCTGTGTTGCTGATGTTGATACTTGAGTCACACGTCACGTACAGCTGGAATAAGCAGTGTAATTCAGGGCAAATTGCTGTTCAGTGACATTTATTCGTTGTCCTGTAGCCTCTCTGTGACACCTGTGGACTGTTAAATGGAAGAAACTGTGCAGCGCAGCAGAGCTTCTGGGCCTGAACTCAGGAAACATGGGAAGAGAAGATTTGATGCTTAAACTAGCTTTAGTTTCTGAATACACTGCAAAAAATAGTATCGTGCCAAGTAAAATTATCTTAAATCTAGATGATATATCCAATATTTCTCTTGTTGAGATTGTTGTAAGGTTATTTTAAGATTATTTAACTCATTTCATGATTTCAACATTCAACATTTATTCTTGTTTTAAGTAATTTTATTAATTGAAAAATGTGAGAAATGCGCTTAAAACAAGCAAAATTATCTTCCAGTAGTGAGATCATTT